ATAGGCAGGAGCAAGCATCGGACATTTGCTACGATAATGGCAACGCTGGCATGTGCACAGCCAGCTTGCCACGTGCCCTGTTCTAAGTGCTTTACAAACTTAATTCTTTTAATTCTCACAACAACCAACCCGCTGCGGTAGGTCCTATAGTGAGACAGGCCAGTAAGCCAGGACAGGCGGAATAGGCAAACTGAGACAGATAGTTAAACAGCGGTTTGCAGCCATCTGGTAAATCTTATATTCCCTAAATCAAGGACTTTTATGAGAAAATGGTTTGTACTTCTCCTCCCCAACCAGAGGGTAAGTAGCTTAAATCACCCCTCTCAGGGAGACAGCAGAAATCCAATTCGTGCCATTTGCCAACCTCACCCAAGGACAGAGGAAGTTAAGAGAATAAACCTCATTTTGGTACATCAGCATAAAACTGGTGAATATTCTACCAAGATCCTCCCCTAAACACCTTTAAAAACCCTCAAAACGAAGGTCTAGTGCAAGCATGTCAAACTCAAAGGTTAACAGGGCCCAATGAAGGAGGCATGCGGCCCTCGGGCCTCTAGTTTAACATACTTGGTCTAGTGCAGTGATGGCGAACCTATGACACGCGTGTCAGAGGTGACACGTGAACTCATTTTTTTGGTTGATTTTTCTTTGTTAAATGGCATTTAAATATATAAAATAAATGTCAAAAATATAAGTCTTTGTTTTACTATGGTTGCAAATATCAAAAAATTTCTATATGTGACACGGCACCAGAGTTAAGTTAGGGTTTTTCAAAATGCTGACACGCCGAGCTCTAAAGGTTCGTCACTGGTCCAGTGCATGCTTTCCCTCCCAGGAGCACGCCCCTGCCTTCCGCCTTACCTCCCCCTCTTTTTCCCCCATGAGGCTTGCAACCAGGGCAGCGATGGGCAGCAGCAGGTCCTCCCAGGTGGGCCCTCTCTTCTCTGACTTCTTGGTGAGCCAAAGTAGACCAGCGTAGACTTACTTCTCCAGCCCTTTCTTGCTAAATTGTCCCCAGGTTTAATAAATACCGGTCAAGGGCATGTACCTGGGTTGCGGGCACATCCCCAGTAGGAGATGTGCAGGAGGCGGCTGATCGATGTTTCTCTCCCATCGATGTTTCTAACTCTCTATCTCTCTCTCCCTTCCTCTCTGTAAAAAATCAATAAAATATATATTAAAAAAAAATAAATAAATAAATAAATAAATATCCTCTAAATTTCACCTGGACTCCTGTTGTGAAATCTTTCCTGCACCAAGTCAAGAACCCATATACTACCTGCTGGCCCCAGGGAGACCCATTCAGGGCCAGGTCCCCTTTCTGGTAACACTATCATCATCCAACTTCATAGTCAGCTGAGACGGGCGAAGGGAATTACTGTGTGGAGAGGTGAGATTGGACTCACAGCACTGGGTCAGGCTGCAGGCCCTGCTCCCGGACTCTGGGCGATGCTGTCTGGGAAGTAAATGGGACCAGGTGTTCTTCCTCCATTTTCTCATGTGGATCCAATGGTGCCTCGTGTCTTCTCTGCATTATCCTCCTGCTGAGCCTTATCATTTTGTGAGGGTCTTCCTTGGTGGCCTCAGCAGGAAGTACCCACGCGCCTTGGGCTGCGTGCTGGCCGCCGGGTTAGGGATGGCTCCCCTCTCCAGCAGCCTTCTCATGAGGGAGGTACCCTTCATTATCATCTGGATTTTACAGGAGGCACTGAGGCCTGGAGAGACCCACAGCATCATGAGTGGCAGAGCTGAGACTTAAACCTAGAGAAGACCTGGAGCTCAGTTCTAACCACTGCTCCTTCCCAGGGGCCAAGAGCCCGCCCCCTTCTCCCCCACCCTCCTACCCTCGGGCAGTGAGCACGAGCAGGCTCAGGAGGCTGGGCCAGGGAGCCAGGTGCTCTTGCCTGGGCCCCTCTTCTCCCTTATCTGGTGAAGGCTCTTTGCGGGATTTATACCAACTTTCCATTATCCTCCTGCTTTTTATTTTATTTTATTTTTTTAATCCTCACCCAAGGCTATGTTTTTATGGGAGAGAGAGAGAGAGGGAGAGAGAGAGAGAGAGAGGGAGGGAGAGAGAGAGAGAGGGAGGGAGAGAGAGAGAGAGAGAGGGAGAGAGAGAGAGAGAGAGAGGGAGGGAGAGAGAGAGAGAGGGAGGGAGAGAGAGAGAGAGGGAGGGAGAGAGAGAGAGAGGGAGAGAGAGAGAGAGAGAGAGGGAGAGAGAGAGAGAGAGAGAGAGAGAGAGAGAGAGAGAGAGAGAAACATTGATGTGAGAGTAAAATATGTCCAACTGGGGATCGAACCCACAACCTTCTGGTATATAGGATGACACTCCAACTGAGCCAGCCAGCCAGGCCATTATGTTCCTGCTTTTAACTGAAGAAGCAGTGCTCTGGCCTGTGTCTCCTACTTTCTTATTCAAACCAAACTCCGGTCACCACAAGCTCCTTCCATCTCACCTTTTGTCCAAAGCCTTCCACTCACTACCTGACGGCCTGCCTCGTGCAGTTCCTGCTGAACCAGCGACCACAGAGATGGGAAAACATGATTCTAAACCAAACGTCGGACATCTCCCTCCACCACTCAGAAACTGCCTGTGGCCACAATTAATATAGTTCTGAGAGTATTACTGGGACATAGGAACAGCTTAAGGATAACATTCACAATCAGGAACTTCCACCTTTTATCTCAGATTAGGAGCTTTTGAATGTACATTTTTAAAAGAAAATATTAAGTTGTAAAAATACATCAAAGGCACAAAAGCAGTACACAAATACATGTTTGTTGTGAAAAAAATTCAAACAACACAGAAGTATATCGAGGGAAAGACCCCCAATGTCGAGGGCTGTTTGACTCATAACAGCTAAAAAGCTGGAAACAACCCAGATGTTCAAGAGTAAATGGATAAACACAATGTCCTGTATCTGTACAGTGGAACACCATCAATCAATGCGAACAAAGAAAGGAGAAAATTACTGATACACAACAGCATGGATGAACCTCAAAAACCTTTTACTGAGCAAAAAAGGCCAGATACAAGACAAACTGTATGATTCCATTTTTATGCAATTCTAGAAAGCAAATCAGTGTTTGCCTGGGGCTGGAGGTAGAATAGGAAAACTGACTGTAAAAGGGAATCTTAGAGGTGGTGGAAATGCTCTATTTCTTGATTGTGTTAACAGTTACATGGGATACTACAAATTTATTAAAATTCATTGATCTGTGCATTTCAAATAAGACCATGTTTGTCCTATGCAAATTATACTGGGCAGATTAAAAAAAAATTTTTTTGTCAAAACAAAAACTCAGACAATAGGATTATGTGATTCGGAGTAGATTGGAATTAAATAAATAGCTATTAAATAGGAATAAATATTTGAATGTATGAACAACAACAGAAAAAGCAAGACTCTCCCTTCTTTTAGCTCTCTTATTCTAGCTCTCTTATTCTATACTCCTTCCCAGAGGGAGCCACTGTTAGCAGTTTTCTTTTTGTTGTTGTTATATTTACTTATTTGAGAGAGGAAGAAATAGAAACATCAATGATGAGTGAGAATCACTGATTGGCTGCCTCCTGCACATTGGACAGAGCCTGCAACCCAGGCATGTTCCCTTGACTGGAATCGAACCTGGGACCCTTTGGTCCACAGGCCGACCCTCTATCCACTGAACCAAACCGGGTAGGGCAGCAGTTTGGTTTTTATATTCCTGGAGTCTCCTTTGCAGATAGACATATGGTTTAAAAGCTAACCTTGAGCAGGCACTCACACTGGGCCTGGCCATCAGGAAAAGCACCAGCAGCTCATTCGTGAGAGCCGCTGGGCCAGGATGCCTTGGGCTCATTCACCACCGTGGCTGGAGCCAGTATCACACGATATCTGGGAATGAATGGAATGACTAGTGAATGAAGGATCTGAGACACACCGCAGGCTCCTTCTTAATTTTTTAAATTTTATTTGAGAAAATAGTGACTTCTGCCATTTTCTTATTCAGCTTCACACATCTAGAAGCATCGGAGGTCTCCAATATTGAGCATCATTAAAGAACTGGTCTGAGGTGGACAACATACTTGGACAGAAAAAAAAACTCCACAAAAAAGAATATCTAGTGCCTATAAAACCTGGTTGGATTTCATCTCAGAATGATTTCCCACTTCACAGGTTTTTCATAAAATGACAGCGTTTTGTGGAGAACTAAAACTGAGATGTGTTTTGATTTACATTTTATTTCCTCCACACTAGACACCATGTTTCAGGTTCATCTCTGCATTATAAACACCTTTTAGAGATGCTAGAAATATCCACCAACTACACACCTACCAATGTGGGGGTTCATTTCTGCCAGAATTCTTACATAATTTCACTAGGTGGGTCTAGGCTTTCCTGCTATGGCCAGAAGGAAAATTTAGACTTACAGAAAAGACCGCTTTATATTTCAATGGAAACTAAATCACAAAAGTCTCTGGGGTTGGGGCTCAAATGTGCACTCCCTGGGACCAGATGTCTTTATTGGGGCCTTCCTTAGGGAGGGAACCTTTTCCAGGCACAGTCAGCCATCCAATCAACCTCTCTCCCACTAGGTTCCAGGAGGCGAGTGTGCAGGCCCGGACAAGGCAGCCCTTTGTCGGGGCGGCCCATTGACAACCAGAGCAGCCCTGGCCCATCCCCCGCCCTGCCTCCCCTTTGCAAAAATGTCTCAGATCAAGACAGAAACACAGCCTCAGATGCTCTTTGCAATGTTCCCTCCTCAGTAACATAATCCTAAGAGAGAAAAAACACATACACACAAACTTTCCTCACATTTATAATCTAAAGCTTGTCTCACTTCTTTCTGAGCAACTGCAGATCAAAGGGCTTGTCATCCATCTACCAACACTCACAACGAGCACTTATTTAAAAATGACTGAGCATGCAGGTGGAATCAGGAAGATCACACGTAGCGGATTAAGAATACGTGGGAATTATTACGAATCAGGCCAGCCGAAAGACAGTCTGACGCCTTTAGAAGAATGAAAATAATTTTTTTTTAAAGAGAATCACAGGAATCCAAGCAAACGACCTCACTGGGTGGTTCTCAAGACCTCTGGGCAGAATTCAGCCATAAGGACCCCTGGTACCAGGGACACCGGCTTTGGGGGCTTATCTGAAACGACGGCAGCTGATGGACTGGTATTTCCATCTCGGGAGGTCGCATCCTCTCAGGAGATGCTCAGAGGCCAAGGTCTGGGTGCAGCCGGTCAGTGGCAAATAGCAGCTCAGGCATGGTGAGTGGCTTCAGGAGGCGCGTGGACAGCACAATCACCTAACAGGAGGGCAAACACCACAGGCAATTAGGGAAGACAAACTCAGGTGATTATGATGAGATAGAAAATGCAACACGTTTCTTTGGGGAGAGGCAGGAGTGGGTACCGTGGAGAACAGGCAGAAAGTGGCAGCTGGAATACCTCCGAGTGCTGGTGTCCTGGTGGAAGGATGGCCCATGGGTCAGCGTGGCTGTGCCTACTGAACCTTTAACCAGCAGCACCGAGAAGGCCGAGCTCAGCCCCTCCTTGCTGCCGAACTGAACCTGATCATACCGTCACTTTGCGAAACAGTAATTTGACTTTGATGTAGAGGGTTCTCCTTCCTTCAGGAGCATGAGGAGGTACACCCAGAGGTAAATGCTGTTGTGGGTGATGATGATGATGATTGTACTGACTTCCTAGTACCCCAAACCGGGTGGCTTAGCGAACAGAAATTTACTGTCTCATCGTTCAGGAGGCCAGAAGTCCAAGCTCAAGGTGCTGGCATAATTGGTCTGAGGTGGACAACATACTTGGACAGAAAAGAAAAACCCCCAAAAAGGAATGTCTACTGCCTATAAAACCTGGTATGATTACGTCTCAGAATGACTTCCCACTTCACAGTTCCTCCCAAGGTCCTGAGGGAGACTGCCCCGGGCTCCCTTCCCACTTAGCTTCCTCGTGTCTTCACATCGCCTTCCCCTCTGTGTGTCTGTCTCCGCGTCCAGGTCCCCCTTTCTATTAGGACACAGCCATGGGGTCACCCTAATGACCTCATCCCCATTTAATAATCTACAAAGACCCATTTCCAAACAAGGTCACCTTCACGGTACTAGGGGTTCGGACTTCAACACCTTTTGGGAAGTGGATACAATTCAACCCGTAACGACGACGGCGATGATGATGTCAGCTAATAGTTGTCAGTCCCCATGATGTGCCAGCACTAAGCACGGTCTCATTTACTGGACATTTAACCTTCATAACAACCCTAAAAATAGGCACACACACATTATTCTTACTGTGCAGGAAAGGAAAATAAAGTGCAGAAAGGTTAAGGAACTTGCCCGAAGACACACAGAGAGTAGTGAAGCCAGGGCTCCAGCCCAGGCAGGCTGGCTCCAGCATCCAAGTGTCCGCCTGGTCATTTCTCCAAGGTCAGCGCTCTGGGAAAGGCTGCGTCACTCCCCTGGTCCACATGGACCTTCGGGCCTCTCTGGCCTGTCCCTGCGAAGGGGACCCTCCCTGCTTCCCTCACCGGGGCCTGTCCTCTGGGGCAGATCTGCCTCTGCAGCACGGGCGAGTGTGGTCCCAGGGCTGGGCTAGGCCGTGATGTGCTTGGTAAGAGTTGGTGAGGTCTTGCTCAGGCAGGCACTGAACGTTCACGGGGTGAGAAGGTGACCATGGGAAATGGGGAAGGAGGTTCTAGAACCAGAATTCCACAGCCCAGCACCTGAGCGAAGACAACTGCAAGGCCTGCAGCAGGACCGAGCTCTGCCTGGCCACACTGCCAGGTTGTGCCTCTGGGGAGAGAGCAGGTGGACATCGCACACTCACTGTCTCCCCTCCTGCCCCTAACTGTCCCAGGTGCAACCAAATTTATGAATTAACCAACTCCCACTTCCCAGATTACTGGTCAATACCAGGGTCTACATACCCCATTGGGGAGGAAAAGCAGATGGGGATGAAGCCAACGTTGGAAAGGGAGAAAGAAGCACTTCATAATTTTCTTGTTTAGTTAAAAGAAAAACAAAAAACGAGGGCTATTAAAATTTTTTCTTTCTAAAATAAAAATTAGAAGCAGCTATTTCACTTTTCCTTGAAAGGGAGTAAATTTCAGCTCAGTTATGCTTTTGTCAGAAAAGAATGTACTAGAATCTGTGCTCACTTTTCCCTGAACAGCACATGATGGGAGCTTGAGGGCAGGAGTGAGTCTGAGCAGCGACCACCCACAGGCAGTGTAGACGCCACAGGAAAACGTGGCTCTGGGGTGTCTACTCACTCCTCAGAATCCTCAGGTTAAGAATGGGGGCCCCTCAGCAGGCCCCGCGCAGCACGTGCTGACTGGCTATGCCCTGGGAAAGCCACTGCTCTGGAGCCTGGCCTCTCCGAAGGCAAACAACAGCCCGAGCCAGCAGCTTGTGCAAAGCTCACATAAGGTCAAGTGTGCAGGGCAGGGGGGGCGCTCAGCAGTCCTGAGCTGCCACTTCGTTGTGTTTTGTGAGTGGGTCATAGGCCTCCTTCTGAATCGCAGGAAAGCTGAGAACTCTAGAAAAATATGCATGCTCACACACACAAGGTCCTGAACACGGTTTCAGGTGAGGTTCAGGGACAACTAAGTTTCAAGTTAAGAAACACTTCTAGAACCACAGGAAGGCTGGCTGAGTGGAAATTCTACAACTAGAAGGAAAGAGAAAAGCACTGAGACTCAGAGGAGGTGCGGAAGTAAAGTGCAGAGGCACAGAGGCGCACGCCAAAAGGGCTGGCGGCTGAGGACACGGTTGTCTTTTTCGATCGGGAGGGAGTCTCAAGCTCCCGACTGCTCTGAACTCCAGTTCCGGGTGAGTCTCTGGGGACCCAGACTCATACGGGGAGAAACTGGAATGTCTGGCATCAGGCAAAACTCGAGGGCGGCTTTCTCTCAGAGATGCTTGCAGTGATTACCGGGGGACTGTGATGCGGGGCCTCTTAGGGTAGGACTGGGGAGCAGCCATAGCTGTTTGCTCTGCCCTGCTGATCCCCTTAGACCCCGCCCCACCCAAGCTGTGCACAGAGGCTTTGCATATGAAAGGCCTGGCCCTTTGCAACCTGAAAATTACTTAACAAATTGCAGCTGAATCAGAGAAACCCAGAACATCTAAAAGAAGGTCCAAGGCCCCACAGCAGCTTGCATTGCTTCACAGCTGGGCCTCATCTGGGCACCTCCAAACCCCAAACAAAGAAGAGGAATCTGCAGATCTCTCTATAGCTCCTGCTGGGTAGCCTCAGGCAGAGGCTAAATTAGCACCTCCTTAGAGATCCAAGAGCCAGTGTACCCAGTGGTCAGAGTGGGACCATCCAGATTACAACTCCTCAGATCCATAAGGGACACACTCAGGGGGCAGACTCAGTGAGCACCAAAGCCCCACTGAAGCAAGTCTTGCCCCAGAAGGGTGTCTCCAGCTTAGAAGTTCTCTTACTGCAGACACAGCTGATTCTCACAGCCAATTGGCCTGGAGGTCAATTCCTCCCAGTGATACCTACAACAATCAAGGCTTAACTACAACAAGACTGTGCACCAAGCCCACAAAGGGGTGCACCAAGAGTGTCCACCTCAGGTAATTGGGGAGGCTGAGCCACTGGGCCCTATAGGACACCTAACACAGAAAGCCACTCTATCAACACAGGGAAGCATAAAAAATGTGGAGACAAAGAAACAAGTCACAAATGACAGAAATGGAGGAAAGCAAATTACTGGATATAGAGTTCAAAACCACACTTTTAAGGTTTTTCAAGAATTTTCTAGAAACGGCCAATAAATTTAGTGAGACCCTCAAGAAAACTAGTGAGACCTCCGATGAATTTGGTGAGACCCTCAAGAAATCTAGTGAGACCCTTGAGGCTGTGAAAAGGACCAACTAAAAATTAAGCATACACTGACTGAAATAAAGGATATTATGCAGAGTTCCAGCAGCAGACTAGAGGATCGCAAGAATCAAGTCAAAGATTTGAAATATGAAGAGGCAAAGATCACCCAACCGGAAAAACAAAAAGAAAAAATCCAAAAATATGAGGATAGTGTAGGGAGCCTCTGGGACAACTTCAAGCATACCAACATCCGAATTGTGGGGGTGCCAGAGGAAGAGAGAGAGCAAGATATTGAAGGCCTATTTGAAGAAATAATGACAGAAAACTTCCCCTACCTGGTGAAAGAAATAGACTTACAAGTCCAGGAAGTGCAGAGAACCCCAAACAAAAGGAATCCAAAGAGGACCACACCAAGACACATCATAATTAAAATGCCAAGAGCAAGGGACAGGGAGAGAATCTTGGAAGCAGCAAGAGAAAAACAATCAGTTACCTACAGGGGAGTGCCCATATGACTGTCAGCTGATTTCTCAACAGAAACTATGCAGGCCAGAAGGGAGTGGCAGGAAATATTCAAAGTGATGAATAGCAAGAACCTACAACCTAGATTACTTTACCCAGCAAAGCTATCATTCAGAATTGAAGGTCAGATGGGGAGCTTCACAGATAAGAAAAAGCTAAAGGAGTTCATCACCACCAAACCAGTATTGTATGAAATGCTGAAAGGTATCCTTTAAGAAGAGGAAGAAGAAGAAAAAGGCGATTTTATTATGTAAAATAGAAAACAGCCTTTTAAAACCTCTGTTCCTCAGACCAGTTAATTGCAAATTTATCTTTAAAAAGTGAAGGAACTGAGTGGGGGGAGTTTCATAAAGGAAGGAGCCCAGCACCTGCACACAAATTCCTTCTCACGTCCGCTGAGTCCCAAAAGGCAACGGCCTGGGTCAGCACCAGGGAACCCCGGGAAGAGCAGTGACTAGAAGCTAAAGCAGCTGAGGAGCAGTTTTCAAAACACTAAGTCCTGCGGACTTAGAGATGCGAGGTAAACACCTTGAGCTTCTCCCAGAAACCGGAAGGACCAAGCCTTAAGAATAAGGATTATCTCCCAGAACTAAGGCCTATGCCCTAGGAACAGGGCTAAATCAAACAGACCCACCTCCACAAGGTCTAAAACGAAGCTTTCACTGTTTCCAGGAAGTTATCAGCTAGAAGAAAATATAATTGTATTCAGAGAGCGACAACAGAATCCAGCATCTACAATGTATCCAGCATCTAAAATGTATACAGTGTCTACCATGTATCCAGCGTCTACCATGTATCCAGCGTCTACAATGTATCCAGCGTCTACAATGTATCCAGCGTTGACAATCTATCCTGCCGGAAGCTGGTCCATCCTTGCTGCTTGACACAGTCACTGCAGGGAAGAAACATCTGCACAGCATATGGTTCAAGGGAC